GTTGGGGCTGTGCTGTGTTGGGGCTGTGCTGTGTTGGGGCTGTGCTGTGCTGTGCTGTGTTGGGCTGTGGACCGCACCGCTGACACCGGATGTTTTTGTTGGAGGTGAAGGTTCGCTGTGGTATCAGATGACAGTGTGAGGCGGAGGACGGGGATTGCGGGTTCGCCGCTGTTCTGGACGCGGAGCCGCGGATCATGAGCAGAGAGGGCGCGGAGAGCGGCAGCGACTGCGGCTCCGACAGCGGCTCCATCGGCCTGGACTTCGCTTACTGCGGAGACCCGCAGCCCCGAGCGGAGCAGCGCGACCCCGACAGCGGAGCGGCTCCTGACGATGGTACTGACCCCCCGCACCCGCACCGCACTCCCCCCCCCCCGCACCCCCCCCCCCCGCACCCAGTGTACCCCCGCACCCCCTCCGCACCCAGTGTACCCCCCGCACCCAGTGTACCCCCGCACCCCCTCCGCACCCAGTGTACCCCCCGCACCCAGTGTACCCCCTGCACCCAGTGTACCCCCCGCACCCAGTGTACCCCCGCACCCCCCCGCACTCCCCCTGCACCCAGTGTACCCCCCGCACCCCCCCCCGCACTCCCTCCGCACCCGCACCCCCCCCTGCACCCAGTGTACCCCCCGCACTCCCCCCGCACCCAGTGTACCCCCCGCACCCCCCCCGCACTCCTCCGCACCCGCACCCCCCCCTGCACCCAGTGTACCCCCGCACTCCCCCCGCACCCAGTGTACCCCCCGCACTCCCCCCGCACCCAGTGTACCCCCCGCACCCGCACCCCCCCCTGCACCCAGTGTACCCCCGCACCCAGTCTACCCCCCGCACCCAGTCTACCCCCGCACCCAGTCTACCCCCCGCACCCAGTCTACACCCGCACCCAGTGTACCCCCCGCACCCCCCCCTGCACCCAGTGTACCCCCCGCACCCAGTCTACCCCCGCACCCAGTCTACCCCCCGCACCCAGTCTACCCCCCGACCCAGTCTACCACCCGCACCCAGTGTACCCCCCGCACCCCCCCTGCACCCAGTGTACCCCCGCACCCAGTCTACCCCCGCACCCAGTGTACCCCCTGCACCCAGTGTACCCCCCGCACCCCCCCTGCACCCAGTGTACCCCCCGCACCCAGTCTACCCCCCGCACCCAGTCTACCCCCCGCACCCAGTCTACCACCCGCACCCAGTGTAACCCCGGCACCCAGTGTACCCCCCGCACCCAGTGTACCCCCCGCACCCAGTCTACCCCCCGCACCCAGTCTACCCCCCGCACCCAGTCTACCACCCGCACCCAGTGTAACCCCGCACCCAGTGTACCCCCCGCACCCAGTCTACCCCCCGCACCCAGTCTAGCCCCCCGCACCCAGTCTCCCCCCCGCACCCAGTCTACCCCCCGCACCCAGTCTACCCCCGCACCCAGTCTACCTCCCGCACCCAGTCTACCACCCGCACCCAGTCTACCCCCGCACCCAGTGTACCCCCGCACCCAGTGTACCCCCCGCACCCAGTGTACCCCCCGCACCCAGTGTACCCCCCGCACCCAGTGTACCCCCGCACCCAGTGTACCCCCCGCACCAGTGTACCCCCGCACCCAGTGTACCCCCCGCACCCAGTGTACCCCCTGCACCCAGTGTACCCCCTGCACCCAGTCTAGCCCCTGCACCCAGTGTACCCCCCGCACCCAGTGAACCCCCTGCACCCAGTGTACCCCCTGCACCCAGTCTACCCCCCGCACCCAGTCTACCTCCCGCACCCAGTGTAACCCCCGCACCCAGCCTACCCCCCGCACCCAGTCTACCCCCCGCACCCAGTCTACCCCCCGCACCCAGTCTACCCCCTGCACCTAGTCTAGCCCCCTGCACCCAGTCGAACCCCTTGCACCCAGTCTAGCCCCCTGAACCCAGTCTAGCCCCCTGCACCCAGTTGTACCCCCTGCACCCAGTGTACCCCTGCACCCAGTCTAACCGCCTACACCCAGTCTACCCCCCGCACCCAGTCTAGCCCCCTGTACCCAGTCTAGCCCCCTGCATCCAGTCTTACCCACTGCACCCAGTCTAGCCCACTGCACCCAGTTTAACCCACTGCACCCAGTCTAGCCCACTGCACCCAGTCTAGCCTACTCACCCAGTCTAGCCTACTCACCCAGTCTAGCCCCTGCACCCAGTCTCGCTCCCTACACCCAGTCTAGCCCCCTGCACCCAGTCTAGCCCCCTGTATCCAGTCTTACCCACTGCACCCAGTTTAACCCACTGCACCCAGTTTAACCCACTGCACCCAGTCTAGCCCACTGCACCCAGTCTAGCCTACTCACCCAGTCTAGCCCCTGCACCCAGTCTTGCTCCCTGCACCCAGTCTAGCCCCCTGTACCCAGTCTAGCCCCCTGCATCCAGTCTAGCCCACTGCACCCAGTCTAGCCCACTGCACCCAGTTTAACCCACTGCACCCAGTCTAACCCACTGCACCCAGTCTAACTAACGCACTGCAACCAACTCTACTGACATAGCAGGACATCTAGTCTAACTCACTGCTGGCATCCCTACTGGTATTTAAATGCACTTAACCCAATGCATCTGGTCTAATGACCGTGAACTCTCACTGTTGTCAATTTTAACTGCTATCAACTCTACTGGTATTTTTGGGGTTCAGCCGGGTGTCTGACACATGGGAAAACCCATCACCATGCGTCAGAGTATCCAATCCAAACTGAGGTTCCCATACATCCCACCTACACATGGAAATCCCAGAGATAGATGGGTGTTGGAACGGAATGTGCACTTTCTCCCTGGAGGTACGCATCCTGCTTACCTAATTCCAGAGTGCATTAGGCGCAGGTATATCAGTATATCCAGTCTTTCAAGTTCTCAAAGTGTGGGTGGTGCATCCCTGGGGAATCGTGAGTGAGGAAACATGGGAATTAGCTGGGCTGTGTGCCGCATGGGGCAGCTTCGCGAGAATGGTAAATCGGTCTCTCCAACAACAACAACAGCAACAACAACAAGTTTTTGCCAGTTGTGGCGCGGATATGAGGAAGAAAGGACAGCTCAGGGTCGAACAGAACGCCGAGGTTCCTGACTGGCTTTGAGAGGTGGAGAGTGCAGCCTTGGATGCTGATGGTGTCAGCGCCTGAGGTGCGGAGGCGCTGACGTGAGCCAATCAGGAGGGCCTCAGTTTTGCGCACGTTGAGCTGAAGAAAGTTGTCTCTCGTCCAGGACTCGATGTCGGACAGGCAGCTGTCAGGACATCGGTGGTCGTGGAGTTGAGGGTAGAGGAGGAAAGGTAGAGTTGGGTGTCATCCGCATACATGTGGAAGTTAACCCCATGTCTGCGGATGATGTCACCGAGGGGGAGCATATAGAGGGTGAAGAGGAGGGGACCGAGGACAGAGCCCTGAGGGACACCGCACGAGACAGTGCGGGGGTGGGAGGAAAGCCATACGTGGAAACAAAGTGGTAGGAGAGGTACGACCTAAACCACTCAAGGACAGGGCCTTGAAGGTTGAGGTGGGAGGACAAGCGGTGGAGGAGGATAGCGTGGTCGACCGTATCGAATGCTGCCGATAGGTCGAGGAGGACGAGGAGGCAGAGGGAGCCCTGGTCACAGATGGTCAGGATGTCATTGGTGACCTTGACCAGGGCAGTTTCTGTGCTATGGGCAGCACGGAAACCCGACTGAAGGGGTTCGAATAATGAATGGGTGGAGAGGAAAGAGCGCAGCTGGGAGGCGACAACTCGTTCCAGGACCTTGGACAGGAAGGGGAGGTTGGAGATGGGCCGGTAGCTTGATAGCTGCGACGCATCAAGGGAGGGTTTTTTCAAGTGGGAGTGATGGTGGCAGTTTTTAAGGGAATGGGAACAGAGCCAGAGGAGAGGGACAGGTTGATGATGTCTGTGATATGTGGGGCAAGGAGGTGGAGCTGGAGATAAGGAGTGGAGTGGGGATGGGGTCAAGGGAGCAGGTGGTGGGTTTCAGGGATAGGATGAGTTTGGTGACAGAGGGTGGGGAAACGGGTACGAAGTGTGTAGGGGAGGATGGGTAGGAGTCGGAGTGTGGGAGGGAGGGGTGGGGTGGGTGGAAGTTGGAGGGGAAGTGACCGCGGAGCGGATTCCCTTGATTTTGGATTCAAGGAAATCCAGCATCTCCTCGCAGTGAAGGTTGGAGGAGATGACCTGCGCGGGGTGGCGGGGGGACGGAGGAGTCGGGATGTGGTAGAAAACAGTAGCCTGGGGTTGTTCTTCGCCTCCAGGATTATCCTGGAGTAGAAGGACGACTTGGCCGAGGCTAGAGTGGAGCGGTAGATTTTGAGGAGGTCCAGCCAGATTTGTCGGTGGACCGTTAGGCCAGATTTGAGGCAGGTGCGTTCAGCGGCCCGCACCTGGCTCTTCAGTGAGCGGAGGTGGGTGGTGAACCAGGGGGAGGAGCGAGAGTAGGAGACAGTACGGGAGGTGATGGGGGCAAGAGTGTCGAGTGTGGAGGAGAGGGTGTTGTGGAGGAGGGTGAGAGAGAAGAGGGGTCAGTGAGGGTTGAAGGCCAGAGGGAGAGGAGTTCAGAGGACTCCAAGGCAGCGGTTAGGGATTGTGGGGGTAACTTCTTCCAGGGGCGGTAGAAGATGGTGGTGGGTCTGGTGGAGGTGGGGAGGGGGTGGAGGTGGTGAAGGAGATGAAGTGGTGATCGGAGACGGCCTTGTCGGTGATAGTGACATCCGAGACACTGAGGCCCCGGGTGATCACCAATCGAGTGGGTGGCCGTGACTGTGAGTGGCGGAGTTGATGTGGAGGGAGGTTGAGCGAGGAGAGCAGGGAGAGGTCCGAGGAGATGGAGCAGGAGGGGGTGAAGTGCAGGTTGAAGTCGCCCAGGATGATGAGGCGATCAGAGCAGAGGCAGAGAGATGTAAGTTGGGTGGAAATATCGGAGATGGAGGTGGGAGAGGTTAATGTGGGAACCGTTCTCAGAGTTGTTTTAAACTGGGACGTTGGGAAGTGTGCAGTTTCGTGTTCGTTTTTTTTACAAAAGGTTTAGTGATTTAATAAACAGTTGTTTAAAAAGGTTTGCAGAAATATTTTCTAACAACAAAATCGGTTAGAAAATTGATTGTTTTATGACTAATGGAGCCAAATGTACCGGTACCCCACAAGCCGAGGTGATGGCAGCACCAGAGGTTCAAGCACAACATAGAAGCTGAAAATCTGATGGCGTTTATTTAAAACTGGACTTTACATGGTGTGGGATTAGTGATGCACCACTCTCTTAGCATGTTGTGTGTGGTGAAGTTCCTGCAAACGTGTTGCCTTAGTGAACTATGTGAGACGTTATTGTTTTTTTCCGTACCTGAGGAAGGCTCACTGACAAAGCTTGAGAATCCCTGATCTAATTCAGTGCTGCCAACCACAGTATATTAGTACAGTACCAATAAGTACATCCAGTGTTGCATTTCAGTCCATCAAATAAATAATAATCTTCCTTGAATTCGATATAGCACCTTAACACGTAGTTGAAACATCTCAAAGTGTTTCACAGGAAGTACTGTAAAGTGGATTTCGTTGGTGAAAATGTATATATTTTTGATGCAGTCAGCTCAAATGAGAAGTATATCAACTCCAATTAGATCCCATGACAGTACTCAAAAAGAATTTCTCCTAGTGTCCTGGCCAACAATCCCCAGACCAATTAGTCATTCATTTCATAGCTGTTTATGGAACATTGCTGTTCCGCATAGATGTATGTTTGCTCCCCCCAAAAATCAGCACATCACGCAGTAATTGCTTGTGAAGTGCTTTGAAATGTTTTAATTTCCTATTATTGCTTTAAGTAGAAATGTTATGAAATGCAACTTTAGTTAACATGCACAAATGGTATGAATTTTAACTTAAATTAGTAGAAAAGAAAATTTCAACTGTGAATGTGGGAAATGTGACATAAAATCGAAAACAGTGTCAGCCATGTGAAGGAGAAAGATAATTAGTTGGATCCTCTATCATGTGAAGTGCATATATTTGTTGTAATTGGGTGCCTCTTAGTACAAATTCTTTCCACTTGACTCCTGTAAGTAAAATCTCTAATGGGTAGTACGGTCCTAGCAGGATAAGCAGCAGGAAGCTTACTATACACTCAGAGCGCTTTATCTTGTGATACTTAAGCCAAGTTGCTCTTTTTCCTGTGTGAGTCTAAGGACAGTCAATGTTGATGAATTCCTTGACCAGGGGGATGGGGAGAGAAGTATTATGTTGTCTGGTGCCATCATTATTATTTGGGGATCAAACATGGGGACATTTTTAGTCTGTAGGACTCTATCTCACTGGTAGATGTGAATGTGTCATGCACATGTGGAACTGTGACTTTTTTTAAGCATGGTAATGATTTTTCACATGTGTCAGACCCTGACTGAACAAAAAAAATCATATTGTAGCAATTAAGTGATAAACTGCATTGTGTTATTAAAATCAATCTTGTATCCTTCCAGACTGATGACATTGCATTCCACCAACACAAAGCTGTTCCATGTATCCCCCATCTTCACCCTGGCCCTACCAGGAAAGCCTTTAGCCACCTTGCCACTGCTCTCTGGGCCTTCCCTTCCCTAATCTTCCAACCTTGCAATTGCCCTATCCACTTTCAAAACCCTACTAAAACCTACCTCCTTGTGTTCTTGGTCTTCCTCCTGCTCTCCATTATCCTCCACCCAGCTTAGGCTCTCACTCTTCTCTGTGAAGTGCTTTGAGACACTTAACTACATGAAAGGAGCTTTTGTATCTGATTTTAATAATAATTCTTGCATTTGATATTGCGCCTTATCACGTCTTTGAGATATCCCAAAGCGCTTCAAAGAATATACTGTAAAGCGAACTGATTGTATATTTTGTGGGTGCAACACGACAGCCAATTGCACACAGCAGTATCCCATAAACGATCGTGGATTGAAGTAACCAAATTATCATTTATTTATTTGTTTGTTTATTATTCCACATCATAGCTCTTTGTTTAACGTAATTTCCTGTGGTTTGTTTCATATTGGCTAGTGTTCCTGAGGAAATTATTCCACCTTAATAATTGAACCATTTCTTTCCTTTGCTTTTCAGGGATGCACTTCAGTGATGACTACTGCACAGAGGTCAAACCCAGGATATTGCTGATGGGACTGCGGAGAAGTGGCAAGTCTTCCATCCAGAAAGTAGTTTTCCACAAAATGTCACCCAATGAGACCCTCTTCCTCGAGAGTACCAACAAAATCTGTCGGGACGATATCTCCAACAGCTCTTTTGTTAACTTTCAGATCTGGGATTTCCCGGGGCAGATTGAGAAGAGAAAAAACACGCAGTTCCTGCGCTTCTGATTGGCACCTCGATCCCCTCTATTGATAAATGCGTGTATGAATATCAGGTGAGAAAAGCACCATGTTCTGTTCTGATCCTCTCACTTGTCGACAAATCCCTACCTTTCTGAACTGCTTTCTCCCCACTCCACTACCCGCTGCCTCCGCTCAGCTGGCTCTGGCCTCATGCTTATCCCTCATCCTCTCTGCTCCACCGTTGGCAGGTAATTTGCATACAGCAATGTTTCACAAACAGCATGTAGTGAATTTGTATGACCAATTTTTTATCTGATGATTTGCTGGTCGGGACACCAACAGAAACTCCCTTCTTTTCGTCCAGTGCAATCAAATCCTTAATGATTCAGGACCTCAGTTTACTATCTCATCCTGAAGATGGTAACTCCCAACAATGTAGCACATTCCAGCACTGCACTAGAATGTCAGTGTGGATTATGTGAGTTCAAAGTCTCTGTGTGGAGCTGGAAGCGAGAATCCTCTGACTCAGAGGCAAGAGTATGACCAACTGAGCCAGGGTATCATTCAACCCAGTAGCTGTATTGTCTATTTTCTGGATAAAATGAACTTAAATCAACTTGCGCCAGGATTGAGATTCCTAACTTGGTGACCGAATTTGCATTTGGTTTCCAATTAGCACATTTGTATTCAAGCAAAGTGAATACAAACTCCAGAAAGGCAAAGTGAATACCAACTCCTCACTCCACCTTGAGAAAGGTAGTTTGAAATCAACTGAGGATGACTGAACTTTGCCTCTTTGAATTAACTGTGCCACGAAGAGAAAGCCAAGTCACAACAACAACAACGCATTTATATAGCACAGAGTTCTAGTGCGCTTGTCAGTGGCGGAGCACGACATCGAGCCCGAGGGAGAGGGATGTGACCGTAGGCACGGTCAAAGAGGAAGGTCTTCAGGTGCAACTTCAAGATGGGGAAGGAAGGAGCAAGATGGAGGGATAGAAGAAGAGTGTTCCAGAATTTCGGGGCAAACTGACTAAAAGCGCAGCCACCAATGGTGGAATGGAGGGGAGAGCACGAGGAACATGCAGAAGCCGGAGCCAGTCGAGTGGAGCCAGCGGGAAATGGGGTGGAGGGTAAGCAGATCGGAGAGCTAAGGAGGTGCCAGAGCATGAAGGGATTTGAAAATGAGCATGAGGATTTTCAAATCGATCTGTTTGGTGATAGGGAGCCAGTAGAGACTGGATACAACTGGTGTTCTAGAGTTTCGTACAGATGAGTATGTGGCGGAGTTTTGCATTAGCTGGATTTTGTGCATGGTGGAGCTGGGGAGACCGGCGAAGAGGTCATTTGAAAAGTCGAGTTGGGAGGTGTCGAATCCATAGACGAGTGTTTCGGCTGCGTCTGGGATACGTTACAGTCGAAGGCGGGCAATATGGCATAAGTGGAGGAAGGTAGTCCTGGTCAGGGAATGGATGTGGGGAAGGAAGCACAGCTGTGGATCGAACCTGACAGAAGACATTGACGGGAGCAAAGAGTACGGCTTTCGCCTTGTCAACATTTAGTTGTAAGAAGTTTGTGTTAATCCAGGTTCTGATGTCTGCCAGACAAGCCGACAGAACATCAGCGGACCTGGAGTCGCAGCTGAAGAAGGAGATGTAGATTTGTATGTCATCCGCATACATGTGGAAGTTTACCCCATGTGTGCAGATGACATCACCAAGAGGGAACATATAGATGAGGAAGAAGGGGCCAAGGATGGAGCCCTGGGGTACACCACACGGCAGGGGCGGGAAGAGAAACCGTTAGAAAGGACAAAGTGTTAGGTTTGTTTGGTAGGACTCAAACCAGGCTAGTGTGGTCCTACTAAGGTGGATATGGGAGGCGAGACAGTGGATTAGGATGGTGCGACTGTGTCGAACACGGTAGAGAGGCCCAGGAGGACGAGGAGGCATAGGGAGCCCTGGTCACAGAGAGAGTGGACATTGTTTGAGACCTTGACAAGTGCTGTTTCTGGGCTATGGGCAGGGCGAAAATCTGGAGGGGCTTGAGGAGGGAGAGGTGTGAGCAAAGCTAGTAACAACGCCTTCCAGAACTTTGGCAAGAAAGGGCAGGTTGGAATAGGTCATTTGTGAGGTTGGAGGGGTCAAGGGTGGATTTTTTGAGGAGAAGTGCGATCACAGCGGTTTAAGGGGGAGAGGAACAGAACCTGAGGAAAACAACTGTTCGACTGTGTCAGCAGTTAGCAGGGAGAGGAGGGACAGTTGGGTGACCAGCAGTTGGGTGGGGAGGAGGTCGTGGCAGCAGGTGGTCATCTTCATCTGGGAGATGGTGGTTGAGAAGGGGACGTAGGGGAGGAGGTTGCAGCCAAACGGATATTTTCCATTCTTTGATACCACAAAGTCCAGGACCTCTTTGCACTTGGTTGACAGAGGTGACAGTCACATCTGCCTTCAGCAAAGTCTGCATCTATAATTGCTATTGCACCCATAACTGCTTGTAGAGATGAATAAGAAATAATCCCTCCAAAAACAAAAAACAATAATAAATTGGTCATTTTCAATCCACAATTGGCTGCTGCGATTCACCCGCAAATATACGGTCATTTCACTTTATAGCATATTCTGTGAAGCTGTTTGAGTCGTCTAGAAGACGTGAAAAGCACTATGTCAAATGCAAGGATTATTATTATAAGTGATTGGCAGAACTAGACTGTTTGGGACGTCCTCCCAATGTGAAAGGCACTAAATCAAATGTAAGGAAAATTTCTTCTCCTCAATCAAAGCCCTCTTGAATTTACTAATGCAATCTGCCCCTGGCTGAAGGAGACATCATGGAGCTTTAAGGCAAGAGAAAACTAAAAAAAGAAAATGAATGCAAACTTAACTATCAAAGAAGTGTGCAATAAATTCAGTTATTCTGTAGATAATGCTGTATTTTAAAATCTGATGTTTGGAAATGCACAGAATATGTCACCCTGCTTATAGCACAAATTGGGAACTTCATATCATTTCAACAGTCACCGTTTCATTTTACTTTATCTTAGAAATATACTGTAGTTGACCAGACAAAACAGGTTCCCTACAACAATGAGAAGATTGTTGTTCGACTGCCTGAGGCATCATTGACTTCTGTTATAAACCACAGTCATTTTAGACATCCTGAAAGATGATGAACTGAACCACATAATAGAAAGTCAAGGCATCTCTCCCTTCAACAAACATTTCAATCTAGTTAAAATTAGTAGGATGCTTTTATTACAGTTCACTAAAACTCTGGCTTGCCGGATTATTGGGGAGATCCAGTCCGGCGAGCTGGAATTTCTGGCTAAGTGTAATTACAGTACTGTGCTGACATGTACCAGCTTTTTTGGTGCAGGCTTTTTTCAATGCCGAAAAATGCTGGTAACAGCCTTGAAATAGTGTGAATCCCGTGAGCAGAAGATAGTGAATAAGCTGATTAGTGAGATTCAAACTGAGTCAAAGTAAATAATCTTGGCCTCTGAAGGCCAGCAAGCACAGTGAGACAGGGCTGCATGCTAAGAGAGTACAATTGGCCTTCCATCCTCGGATAGGAAGAACAGTTCAGCCAATGTTCGTTCCTTCCCATGTCTAATTATTGGTCAGTGGCTCTCATACAATATGTCTTTGGATAAGATCATTTTAGATTTTGTGACCCCTTTGATTTGTTACATTGTGAAAAAAAATCCTTGTATTTGGTTTGCCGTCATTCACGTCAAGTGGACGTCTTGAAGCACTTCACAGAATACACTGTAAAGTGTAATGACTGTATTTTGAAATAATACTAACACTCATTCTTGAAGCCCACACGTGAAGACGAGAAAGTACAGTGTTGATGGTGCTTTGTATAGACTGGACATCAAATTGTTATCTCACTACAGTATTTGTTTGGCTCAAATATATACTGGGTAAATTAATCTTTTTAGTAAGATTATGATCTACAATTACACACGGGCAAAAGAAATGTGCTTGGGGAGTCTTCTGCACAATTTAAACGGCGAAACAGTGAACTGTTGATTCAAGTCAGTTCAGTCGCTCACAGTTCTCAAGTTAGTCCCACTATTGTAGGTTTACAATTGCAAATAAAACGTGTGAGAACTTGCACACAGACGCACTAGTACATACATCCTTGTAAAGAGATGCTAAATCATAGCCAGGTAAACAGTCCAAGCCATGCCTCATTATCATACAATTATTGTCCCATGCAGTTTGCTGACAGGTCAGTTAAATTAAATCTGTCAATACACCAAAACAACTTTGACTTCACAATATGCTTGGATTTAGTTATTTGAATTGACTACAAACAATATAATGCAAGAAATCCTGTACCCCTATACGGTGATCATTTTGTGAAATTGATGACCATGTACTATAGTTAGTTTTAAACCGGGCATGTTATAGATTTCTGTTAAATACACACTTTATGTTGCTGAAAAGATACAGAGATAGGAGACTTTTATGCCCTTTTGACTCATCCTTCCATAATGTCAGCTCTATAGCATCAAACTTTTTGTGAAATGAGTCCAATCTCCTTGTCTCCTTTTCTGGTCTCTTGTCAATAGATACTACCGGTATATTTCTCAGAGCTTACCTGGTTAGCACGATTGGAGCACTTTCTCTATCCTCAGTGACATTTCTACCCCTGATGTTCCATTGATGGTCAGCCAGCCCAGTTGACCTTCACAGTACTACAGTCAGGCCTTACTCAGGGATCGCATCACCAGGCGCACCTCAGATTTGCTTCCACTTTGTATTTCCTTGCCAGAAATGTCTCTTTGAGGCCAACTCAACCTTAGAGAGACCCCACTTACCTCCCCCACCCACACTGCATCTCATGGAGGACAGTCACAAGTTGGTCATTTGGTAAATATTAAAGATTCCGGCATAAGCTTAAGAGGCCCAGGAAGAGGGAATCCATAACTTTAATTGTGAGCTGCATTTTTAAACAGCATTAGGTTGAAGGCCAAATGGATAGCCTTTGACAAAGCGCTCAG